GATATTAAAGTGCGGCACTCATATTTAGAGATTACGTTGATTAGTTTTTAATTTTAGAGAAAAACTTGATGTGGGAAGTCAATTTCGAGGACTGTTTGAGACAAAAACTGAATTTTAAATGAAAATATTATTTTTACTCAAGAAATATCAGAAGACTTTATTTAAAATCTTTTATTAAACATGAGCGTTCAGTGATTTGTTTTTGAAAAAATACGATAGTATATTTTATTTCATAAAAAAAAGTAATACATCGTACAATTTATGAATCAACGCCATACACATTCTTCTACAAGCAAAGTCAATAATAACGCTTGGAGGAGAACCATTCCATTCACAACCTTGAGACAAAGACATCCCAATCCGTGCTAGTGCTAGACAATAAGCAATAGAGTTTGCATTGCGGCGAGTATGGGTAACAGTAGCTTCAGTGATTGAATGGAGTAGTGCTTTGATGTCCTCCGCAATTTGCCCAACTGTTGACAAATTGAGAGTGGAATTTCCCCAAAGGCTCTACAATCTGAAGTGAATTAGTCTCAAGAAATAAATTTAGAAAACCCCTATTGATAGCCAAATAACGATATTGATGGCCAAATAACCATTCAAAGCCAAATGTATAATTCTAGGTGTATGTGAAAGCAAAGGTGGAAATTTATCCACGAAAAGAATTAGATATGAAAGATACTTATCCATTATAATCCTTCGCAATTTGCTGGTATTACAAAGTGTAAGTTTATACGATGAGTAAAACAGTAAACATATTGAATTATCCAATCCAATCCAGTTTAGAGAAACAAAGGACTTGTTTAGCCTCTATCATCGAACAGAAGTTAAATTACTCACTAAAATAATAGGATTGTTATGGAAATGTTTCCATATACCTAATCATTTCTAATCGGCTTTTTATTCAAAATAGTGCTCATAATTGGCACAACTCTCACTTTCACCCTTCATAATGAAAATCGATAGAAATGATCTGAATCTATTCATTGTAGATCAATTTGGTCAATTCGTAAAAAATCTTTTAATATCTTCGTTAAATTGTCATGTGAAAGACCATGTGATCATATTTTTAAAAGTATTTTTGTCAAACCAACCCTCACCTTAACAAGGATATTGACAATTTTTTTTTGCAATGATAAAATGATTTTCGACGGACAATCTCTATAAGCACTTCTATCAATTTTCATTGTGAAATCAAAATGATGAATTATATCCATCTCAAGGACCATTTTGATGGAAAAGCCTTTCTAATCACCCCAAAATGAAAATCATTTACCTCTACTTTCACTATTCTTTGACTATAATAAATTATTCAATTCAATCATAGAGACCAAACGCCCAAATGAGCCCTAAGGTCAACCAAAACACTTGTGTTGGATTCCTCAAATTATTTCACCTTCATAAACCAAACTCAAAATACTTAACGGACCGTTCCAGTAACTCGGTATTGCAACACATAACTGCCGGCCAACACATCCACAACTAAAATAAGAACGAACGTACTAAACACAATGATACAGGCTATATAAATCTTGAACAAATCGACCTGGTAGAACACATCAATCACACCATACAAGAATCCGCACTGCACCACCGAAACAAAACTTACAAGTTTAACCAACAGTAAAGTAGTTCTCGATGAATAGCAGCAACCGCAAACGCCGCCAAGCACACCTTCTAGTCAGCTCTTGACTGCCCCGATCGGGAAGAGAGAATGATACCAACAATCAGACCGTACAGAGCAAGCGCTTCAGCAAAAATGAGAATGAGGATCATCCCAACGAAAAGCTTTGGCTGTTGTGCATTGGCTCTGCATAACACAAAAATGAAATCAGAGAAAACTCTCAATCAAACGGCAACACGACACCAAATACGAGTAACCACACACTGGCCTACAACTAGAATGAAGAGCATTATATTTTTAGATCATTAGGGAAAATAAAAACACCGACGATTATAGGTTCTATACAATAACACTTAAAAGAGCTCTAACTGATTCTTAGTTGCAATATTCCTTTGGTGGCCGTCTTCCATTGGAAAGTCAGCACAGTATTCTTTAAAGATATCGGCTTTGAGCCACTCAGTACTACGGTTTGGTGGTATTCCTCTTCACTTGGAAGTGAGAGGTCTTAGGTTCGAATCTCATGGATGGTGAATTCGATACCAAATTAGGTTGCCCATTGTGTGGCTTAGCCTAACCCCTCTTCCCTTAGTGTAAAAATATCGATGTATTCAAAAAAATAAGTATAGGGTTTGAATTTTTTTCTCAAATGCAATGTTAAAATCCCTTATATGTCAAAGCCCATAATAAATCAAGGACAAGACGCCGCAGAAAACTCGGTTCTTAAACAATCAAATCGATGTTCACTCTCTCAGCATCTAGTTAGAAACAATAATTACGCCAAGAAAACTTGATTCTTAAACAATCCAATCGATGTTGTATTGCAATTTATACAATCAGTTTCAGATTAAATTCGCAAAATGAGTACAAAAAAAAATCTTATATCAAATTGAAGCAGTGTAAAACCGAGACTGAAAATGCGAAAACGCCGAAAGCAAACGAGAGATATTACCTAACACCGGCATCACCGACAATGCCGATAGCCATACCGGCAGAGAGACCAGCAAGGCCACAAGCTAGACCAGAGGAAAGATGAGCATAGCCATCGAAAAGGTAATAGGGTTTGGCCTTGGGATTGATACCGGTACTGATGATAACGGCGATGATAAGTCCGTAAATACCCAACACTCCCGCCATAACCACCGGCACGATCGACTTCATCACCAGCTCCGGCCTCATCACACCCATCGACGCCACTCCTACTCCGCTCTTCGCCGTCCCGTACGCAGCTCCCATGCCTGAAAAACACACAAAACCCGATCAAAATCGCTACATCCGCACCGACCAAACCCTAGGCTGTTAGATCTGGATCGAATCAGAACGTACAGGAGAAGACGAGGGCCGCGGCGGCGCCGAGGAACCCGAAGAACGGTGCCGTTTCATCGCCGCTGAAGGTTGTAGAAGACATTCTGCTCGATCAACGGACAGATATTCTTTGATCGGATCTGGCTTCTGATGGATTTGGTTTCCTTCTCTTCTCCTTGAATGCCTTTAAGCGTGTGTGTTTCGACTTTCGATCTCAGCCTCAATCGGTATGAGTATGTTATTACGTTTATACCCCGGGATTTAGAGGAGTCACGAGTTGACGAGATGTGCGTGTACAATACTTTGGGCCTTCTGTTATTCCCGTAATTAGAGTAATTTAAAATAGAACGACGTCTTTTGCATGACAACATGAATTTAAACTTCGTTGGTGACTAATTTAACAATTAATCTATCAAAATTTATTTTGATTCACTCAAAAATAGAATATCGTTTTATAAAGAAAAACAAACTGTACCTTCGAAAATGGCTTATGCATACCCTTTTTCATCTTCTGCATTTGCAAAACCTCTCTTAGTTATGATCCTTGACTCCCTCTCTGATTTGTTTAATCCAATTATTAGAAGAAAAAAAAGGATCTTTTTAATCAAAACGGTCCCTAAGATTGCGTAACTCCTTCCTTTAGTGTTGGAGATTTAAAATCGATAGAAATCGTCCCTGAGATTATCCATTATCAATCATTTTGGTCATTCCGTGAAAAATCTGATAAATTGAGGGTACTTTTGTCAAATCAACCCCTCCACTTGAAATGGTAATTTCTTCAATTTGACGATAATTTTTCACAGAAAGACCAAAATGATCGACAGTGGACAATCTCATAAACCACTTCTGATGATTTTAAATCTCAGAAATCAAAATGAGAAATTATGGCAAGCTTAAAAGATTATTTTGGCTAAAAAGCCTAAAGGAAAAACGTGCAGGAGGAAGAAAAACGGTGCATAAATCATTTGTCCCTTCACAAGGGTGGAACCAGCATAAGAAACTAAAAAACTTGCATGCAAACGGTCCGTTAAACTCCTCCTCTGGAGGGAGAAAATTCCCTGCAACATAACAGCAAGTACCAAGTACATTGGAATTTTGGCCATTTCTTTAGTTTGCCAAATGTTCTGCAGTTGCATATTTTTGCCTAACAGTATTAAAACATCACATAAGCAATTAAAAGACAGTAACAAAGAATTCATCTCGAAATCATTGGACACGGACAGTGCATATGGAAAATTTCAAATGTTCGGCATCATTTGAACCTCATCCCAGTAATTTAGGAAAAGAGAATGGTTAAATCTGATATCTTCCACTACTTGGTAATGCTAATCACTCAAATGGAATGGATACCATTACCAACTTTCGAACAAACTAGGGTTGATGTCATTCAAGAAAAAGTTCATGCCAATTGTCAAAGCTGTATAAAACACAAACGTATGGAGGCGGTACTGCCCTATAAGATATTAGGAATCACAACTACGCAAAACTCAATCCAAATGTCGGGCAAAAGAACATGTAATATGTTAAAACAAACACATGTATTAGCCTAATCCATCTCATGTCATGGAATCTGCCAACAGTTTGGCATATTGAACATCAATCAGGTAAGGGTTGATCAATCTTCAAAACATATTAGAATCAACAAATGCGGAGATATAGAGGCTAGAGTGCATACCTCTCGCTTCTTCTGAGCAGCCAAAGATATCTTTCCCGGCCTAGCAACAATCAAATAGAGGTGTAATGTAATCAGAGACTAAAAACAGTAGAAGTGAAAGCAAAGGCAATTTCAATATGATGGATCAAACCTGGCATTTCACGCAATCCAACCATAATTGAAGCTAAAACTGAATACAACTTCTGTATGCATAGTTTTAGATGTATAACAGAACATCTATAACAAAATATACCTGCGCTTATTTTCTGGATTTCAATGTAATACCGCTATTACAAATTTACACATATGCTTTGACATGAATCACTAATTTGGAAGCTGGAACAAGAAGTTGAAATTATTAGAACACATCATACATGAAAAAGCCTCCCCACACAAGGCACAATCAAAGAGGTAAAAAAGTTCAGAAAGCACATATTTCATCCCTTTGTCTGCCAATAGAGAAATATGCAACTCCGTTCAATTTAATGGAGAGGAAATATGAAGTTAGTGGTTTCTGTATAACCAAAAGAGTAACCATATCAGATTAAAGTACTTTGGCCACCATGGAAAAATGTTCTGTATTCTTGTTGACTAACACAATCCTACTCTGTACACATAGGAAATAATGATAAAAGAAAAAAGTCAGGAATTAGTTTCTCCTCGTTGAGGATCCCTGAATGAAAAATAGGATATGACAAGCCAACTTCTTCGTGCAATCTGCTATCATCTCCATACCAAGTTGATGCATGTAATTGAAACGGACAAAGCAACCTGCTTTGAGAGAATTCATTATACTTCCATTTGCATCCAAAATGGTTGTCCCTGTTGCACTGACCAAACATAATCGCATTTCACGATGCCCGGTTCAACAGGCAACAAACGTGCCCTTTCTACCATTGCTCCTTCTAAATCACTGAAGTGCTTGTTGGCAGTTCCATTAAGAAGATCCGATTTGATTCTATCTGTGAGCCACCACTTCCAAGCTTACTCTGTAAATTCATCCAGGAACTACAGAAGTCCATGCACAAACACAGGCCAATCAACCCAAGGGACCATCAAGATTTCATTGTGGGCTTTGCTGCCATGTGCCTCTCAATCAATGTATCCACAAATGCACGGATCTGCAGTTTTTAAAGCATTGAAGAGAAACTTGGTAAGAAGAAACTAATGTCACTCCATCATATATTAAAGAAAAAACTTCTGTTCATTACCGGGCAAAAATTTTGTACATGCTATCCTGTACTTAATGAAAAAACTTCTGTTCATTCCTTGGTGAAATTGATGTACAGTAACAAAAAGTTCAAGAGAGCATGCACACAAATTCCAAGTTGCCAACAATATTTTATTTTTGCTCGTTCAGGTGAAGAAAGCCAATCTTTGTTGGAAAATAGTTCAAATGTCAGCCAGGAAATCACTTTTGACAGCTTAAAAAAACTCATTAAAGTAAGCATGGAAAGACATATATGACACTTTATAACAAACACAAAATGGAAGAATACCTTGTTCCTGCGCTTGAAATCAAGAAACTCAGAAACAGCCATTGCTTTTTCTGAGTCTGTGGCCAGCTCCATGACCTGAAAATTGAATTCCCCAAAAATTTAAGACTAAAGAAAAAAGGAATGGGAATAGTTGCAAAACTGAGTTCAACAAAATCGAAACAGTTTTTTACTGGAAAGCATGGTATATTTTCTGTTTAGTATGACAGGAAGGATAAATGAAAAATTACTAACCTTGGTAGCACTTTTCTTCATGATTGACTTGTATCCCTCTCTATCTATTTTTTTAGCTTTATAAAGGGGCATAAGCAATGAAGCCACATAATCGACAACAGCCTGCTTAATATTATCTGCTCCTCGATGATGACTTTTTAACGACTCCTTGTTCATGGTAACTTGGGAAACAGAGCTCTCATTTACAGGTCCTTCATTCTTCCAGCTGTGTTTTCTCGAAGTCGTATTTGAATCTTCCTCGTCATTTATATATGGTGCTGAATGGAAAAAATCAGGGTCTGCTGCAGCTGCTTGAGATTGCCACATCTCAATGGCATGATAATCCTTTATCCCGGCACTACCAGCTGTATCAACCCATGCTCTTGTATAAATACTGCTGTCGACAGCAGCACTCTCTCCTGAGTGCTCTCTGAAATTCGTTTGACTAGCAGTCTCATTTGGATTGCTCCGCTGCGAGAGGTTATCGACTGACATTCTTGAACTATCAATATTGACGCAAGCAGCAGAGAAATCAACTGACCAGTCCCTAACTTTGCAGTTCCTGGAGTCTATTTCTGATACACAATCTTGTCTACCCAAAACACCACCAGACCACTTCCTCCTCAAATCATACTCATCCATTTGAGGGTACTGCTCCCGTCGAGCAAACTTATGAAATGAGGGAATCTTGGGAAGCTGAAGCAGTGTACTGCTCTTGGCTTCTGAAGATGCATATGCCTGCAATGGACAACAATAACTAAATTCTTGTGGAACAAAATGGCACAAATAGGAAGGGGAGCGGCATTACTATTCACACTAAATTGAGTAGAGTAACGAGAGAAACAAACCTCGGCAGCTGCAAGTGCTGCTGCACGGGCTGCTTCAGCAGCAGCAATGGCAGCTCGTTCTGCTTCTGTCACAGCAACGTCAATCTCCTTTAGCTCAGAATGTGGCCTGCCTGTTGAACCACGAAACCTTGATGAATTGATCTCTGATTTTGAGGAATTTGCTGTTTCACCCTTAATGGATTTGCCATTCACTTTCTTACCATTTGCATTCAAAGGCAAATGGCTTGCGGTGGATGCTGAATCCTGTAAGCTTCCTTTGTGCTCCAAACCACAATGAAATGTGTGTAGAGGTGGCTTACTAGAAGATGGATCTCTAATTGTTTTTCTCTTCCATGCATCTGCAGCAGTTGCTTGCCTTGACAACTTCAATGCACCATTGGAAGCTTTTTCCTTGCGAAAAACTTCAAGCCACACATTAACCAGCTGACTTGCTATGGCACGTATATCACGGCTCGTATGTACACAAACTTTTTCTCTTACAGTCTTCCCAATGCCTACACAAGAAAACAGAGAGATCAACTAATTTTAAAGAAACACATTCTAATGATACACATTAATGCACATAGGAATGCCAGTAGATAAAGATCGAGAAATAAGAAGACAATACCAGACAAGCGCACAGCCAGTAGGTCTGTTGAAACAAGCACAAGGAGCCGAACACAATGCCGCAAGAGTTGAGTCCCAGCCTTCCCCATCGAGTCCTGTTGTACAGAAAAAAAAAAAAAAAATTCTAAGAAAGCAAACATTGGATGCTATCAACAACAACAACAAAGCCTTTTCCCACTAAGTGGGGTCGGCTAATTGGATGCTATCAACAAAAAAAAAAATATGTGTGTGTGTGTGAACATATTGTGAATTCATATTGATTGAATGATTGATAAATATAATGCAGGGTTACCAGTATCCACAAGTTGAGAATAGTCAGCCCTTCTTTGGTGCCAGCAAAGGACTTCAACGTTTCAGCGGGAAGACTTAATAACTCTTTGGCCAGATGCAACCTTCCTTTAGTGGTCTTTGCATTAAAGAACATGTCCTGGAGTAGGGCCTCCTTGTTCTTGTAAAGGACATTTGAAAGTTCAACTGCATCAAGTCTCCTTGTCATGTCTCTAACTTCATCCCTTTCAGAATCTGATTGTCTCTGAATGCCCGCAATTGCCTCTGCTTCTGCTGTGTAATCATTTCCAGTAGTAAGTATGTCAATTATACGCACTGCCTCCCGAAGGCCACTCATCATCGCACCACCAACAGTGTCAGGATGCTCCTTGCAGGTAGCTTCACCAGCAAAAAATAGGCAGTTCTCAACAGGTCTCCCTAGTATATCATAATCTTCCCCCGAAGCTCCAACAGCAACATATGAGTAGGCACCATAGCTGAAAGGATCCCTACCCCAATCTGTCACAACTGATGCAACAGGATCAGGTACTGAAGCCTCTCCAAACAATTTACGAAGTACCGCTAAAGCATGGTTAACATGTTCAGAAGGGCTCATCTTTTGCCCATCTATAGCTGCCTTACCAACCACTAAAGCTATAAGAACAGGAGCCCCAACGGTTTTCTGACATTCCAGAACATAAAGCACTGGCCCCTCAGGTCTGTTTCCTCAGCAGTTGCTCCAAAGTAATCCACAGAGTCATCCCAAAAGACATCCGGAAATTCCAAAACTACTTTATTAAGAACTCCAAACCCAAGTCGCAGGATGGAAGAATGTTTCCAGTGGGGTAACGGTGGGGAAAATTTGATAGTTTCTGCTTTTAAGCAACCAAGAGGTACTGTTACCAAGACTGCATCTCCCGAAAAATCGTTGCCATTAGATGTGGAAACCTTGACTTTGTTACCCGGGTTAGTATTCAATCCAGCATCCTTGGTGCCATATGAAACATCAGTTACTACATGATTCAAGCGAATTTGAAGTCCTTCTCCAAGAGACTCAATAACAGTGCTATAACCCCCCTTTAATCATGCAGTGAGCTCCTCCAAAGCCACCATAAACATCATCCTGGTTCCAGTTGGGGAGAGATACCTCCTTCAGCAGAGTAGCACAACCATATTCCAAATTGGCAAAATGCCAATCCATGACCCTCCTCTCAAGAGGGCTCAAAACCTCTTGCTTTTGACAACTTTCTTCAGCTCTATCAATACTTTTTTTGGCATCAATGAAACCATCCATTAAACCATTCAGTTCTTTCGCTTCAATACTAGTCCCTGTTTTTGCCATACGACGCCTCTTGAGGGCATATTCCAAACCTTCCTCGAGGGACAATCTTGTCTGTTCTCCCTCCTTTGCAACAAGCAATACCATGTCATCGAGAAGGCTGTTGAACTCTGCTTCCAATGCTTCATCCAGATCTGCAGGAACCTTTTCACCTGTTGCAATGTCATAAAGAGGGCAATCACTGTTTAAGACAGTCAACTCAAGGCCCAGCTGAGCACAAACCAAAGAGGAGGGGTCTGGTCGTCTTTCAGTTGCCCAATCAGCCTCAACACCAGTTATAATGCTAGCACCAAGATCCACAGGAACTGATAGAGATGACCTGTCTGTATAAACACGGCCCCCTATCCTACTCCTAGCTTCCAATATAGTGACTGAAAAGCCCTGACGTTGCAAGTGGCGTGCAGCAGTTAATCCAGCAGGACCAGCACCTATGACAATGATTTTCTTTTTGACTTCCAGACCGCATTGCAGATTATTATTTCTCACTGCATGATCTTGCGATGCACACTGAGTACTATGTGATACATTCTTTAACTCTGGAGTTACAAGAGGGATGCCTCCATCACCCAATGTCTCACCAATTGGAACACTACTTGAAACATCCATATTGTCCAATTTACTTTGTAACCTTGCATCAACACTTGTGTTTTCCAGGTGATCTGCCTTGCACTCAGCATGGTTTGTTGCATTGGATAATTCCAATGCCACTGTAGTAACAAGCTCATTGTCTCTTGAGACTCCCTGCGTCGAGTTGTTGCTTTTGATTATGACACCACTCTTCACATCAATTTTAGTTTTAGAACTCTTAACCTGGCCTATGATAAAGGAAACTCCATCCTCTGAATCAGCAACTGAAACCCCAGAAATTTCCTCGAAATTTTTTTCTCTCAAAATTTTATAGTCATGCTTGGAACCAGGTTCTGCTTTATCCTTCTCACGAGCAATTCCAATATTTATATAGCCCTGTCCAAGTTTTGATACATAGGAACAAAATGAGACAAGCTCATACTGCAATCTTCCTAAGGAAATGCAAGAATGAAAAGACACTAGGCAAAGAGGAAGAAGACTGATCAATATTGGACTGGCACATATAAAAATCCCTAAATGCTTTATAAACTTACACTGAGATCAAGGAATGCATAAATATCCTTAATTAGGGAAGCACGAGGTGAATCATCCGCACAAGAAGTATCTGTTACCCCACAATCAGTAAGAGGCAAAATTCGACTAACATCTTTATTCCACAGAGCAAGGATCTGATTCCTGTATTGCAATACCATCAAACATTGGACAAAACCACTTAAAGAAGAAAAAATCTAAACCAAATGCCAATAATACAAACATAAATATACCATCAATTTTATTAATGTCAACATAAGTAAATTTAAAAAGAAAACTCAACCCATTAAGGTCAAACAGAACTTAGCGTTAGTAGGATAAAACAGAAAACCAAACATTTGAATAATTAGAAAGAATTGTTGAGTAAAATTGTAAAAAGGATAAAAAAATAAACAGCTACAATTAGTATCAAGTACAAAATGCTGAAAGATGCAATTCGTACAAGAAACCCCTATTATTTTACTTGCAGGTTTCAGATTAATAACGAACCTGCATTCCAAATAGTCCTGAACCCCACCTCTGCGCTTCAAAATCTCTTTGAATTTGATCTTCTCAACAGGACCGACTGCATTGGCTTTAAGACCAGCAGACACTGCTGCAGCCTCACCACTTTCAGACTCTGTACCAATACTTGAAGAGGAATCAAACTTCACTCTCATTCTAAATGAATTGTCACCATCTGAACCTTGATCATTTATCAATACGTCCCAATCAGCATCCCCCTCATAAGCCATGTCTCCATGCCTACGCTTTCTAACATTGCGCCCCACACGCTGGATAGCTGATAGCTTAGTGCTTTTGTTTTCAACATCTGGTAGAGATACTGTGTCTTCTGGGCAACTCTCATTTTCATCAGCCTCTTCACAAGTGATAAGATGATCATGAATTGGAACATCATTTTTCTCCTGTAAAGGACCAGAAGCAAGCCCAGGATTCTTAGTGTAAGTAATTAGACCATTACAATTACTGTGAGTGTCTTCCATCCCCACAGTGTTTGAGGCAAAGTTCAACAACTGATGTTGAGTATGCTGGGAAAAGTTTGGACATCTGTCAGAATCAAGCTCATCCTCAACCTTCACATGGCATGTCAAGGAGTTCTGTTGTAGATGTAAGGAGGACACCAAATGTTTGTCCTCCAACGTATTTTCACATGACTTATCCAGAAGATCATCATTACAATGAGGCCGCATAATTCCTTTCCCAGCTGGAGAAGAGGTTTCACAGTCTGCAGCTGAGGTGCATCTACCCAAAACATCCTTGGACTGAATGGAACCTCCTATAGAGCAGTGCTTCAATCCATCCTCAAAAGTTCGCATTTGCTGTGTCAAATGTTTGCTGTCTCCATCATTAACTTCATCTGAGCTGCATGGTCCCTCTTGAAAATTTGAACCAGAAGGAGCCACTATGGCTTCATTGTTAATCAATTTGGAATCAAATCCTGAATGTGAGTAGACAGGAGCTCGATCTTCTGCAACGATTTTGTAAGGCCTTTTATGCTTTTTATCATTGAATGTCTCTTGATTCTCCCTGTGGAGGTTAGAGGCTTGACATAATCTGTAATCAAAACTTTGACTTTCATCTGCCTTACAATGATCAGAGGCTGAATCCAATGAATTTGAATCAGATAAAGGCGTGTTTTGTGCAACACCATCCACACTAGGTTTCAACCCTTCCTCCAAAACCTTAGAACCACTCTTCTCCTTTGGACGTGAAGAGGCACGAGAATTCATTACCAAACCAGATTGTGACTTCCGGGAAAATGCTGGTAATGAATCTCTCAGATGATGATCCAAAGAGCTATTAGAACCTTCCCCAAATCTCATAGACCTAGAAATCTTGGGTCTCTTTCCCCTTACATTTCCATTAAGCTTGTTTTCTACCCCTATATCGATAGTCACATCAGATCCATCATCACCCATGACAGGGCCTTTCTCTAAAACTCTTGACACCGATTTTGCATCTAATCCCCCGTCATCCACATGCCCATTAGAGGACCGATCCAAAGACTGTACACCATCCAAATCAAAACTCCTCCCCCTCATAGTTCCAGTCCCAGAATCTTTCTTAGGACCCTTCAACTTCTTCCTCAAACTTGCCAAGGTATCATCCAGCCCCCCCAAATACTCTTCTTCGTCCTCAATCTTCTGGCCCCTTTCGCCGCCACCCTCTGACCGCGGCTTAACCTTCTTAGGGTTTCTCTGCCTCTTTAACTTCAACAGTGACCCAATTGGCTCATCATCATCAGAATCAACCATATTCGCCTCAAGAAATTTTGATCTTTTCTTAAAGCCGGACTTCTTGTCCTCCCCATCCATTTTGTCAACCATATCTTTTTACAAAAACACAGTCTTTCGTAACCCTAATCCAGCTTCAGTGCCCAAATCAGGGAAACCAATCATCACTTTCCACTTCTCTATTGTCAAAAAATTAAAGCTCATGATTCACATGCACCTCGCCTTAAAGCAATTCAGCCACAATTATCAAAAATTGAAGCCACGCCTAGAAATCCCAACACCCATCAAATCGCAGACAATCACAAACTTTAACAATTCAAAATTTCGCAAAATTCAAATCCTCGATAAGCTTCTGCCAAGGATTAAGCTCCTCTATACCTTCTGCCAATGGCCTCCCTCTACTCTAAGTCCTCAATCGATAAAATCTACCATTGCAAAATACAGAGAGAAAAAAAAAGGAATTATAAAATATAAAATCTACCTACGGTTTTTCAACCAGTTACTAAGCCCTAATGAGAGGAAAAGAGAGGGGTGGGCGGAGGTCAGACCTGTGTGCGGCGGAGCTCCACCGCGATGGCGTTAATGGATTCGTCAGAGGGAGTGAAGTGCGCACGTTAGCGTCGCGTTGGAAAATATTGGGAAGTTCGGCTGTATAAAATAAAGTGCGCCGCGGGAGAAATTAAACGGGGTGAAATAAAAAGAAAAGGAAAAATTAAAAGAGGAACTTATTGAGGTGGGATTTTTGGCCCCACACGATTTGTAGAGACAGTGCGGGAGTGAAAATAAAAAGTACACACCGATGGAGAATGCTGATATTCAGTACTACGATTTGATGATATTTTTTTTATTTATAAGTGAAAAGTTTTATGTTCGAATTTCGTAGATGACGAATTCGATACCAAATTAGATTGTCCATTGTATGGTTTAGCCGAACTCCCCACTTAATATAAAAATATTTATATACTAAAAAAAATATTCTTTTGAATTGGGGATCGGTTGCCACGGAAGTTTTTTTTTTTTTTTTTTGGAGAGAGCCTGAAAGACATAGGCAGTCTCTCTTTAGTTATGTGATACACATGCATCATAGATTGAACATAATACATGTTGTACAAAATACTAATATTCATTTCCGATCATTGAATCACTCGTTGTGGTTAGAGAAAATGCCTTTGGCACCACTTAATTATGATTTTAGAAAAAATTCCACCAAACAAAAAAAAAGTACGTAAGTTTTTGAAAAATATTAAAATGGCCCTTATGTTTAGTAAATTGTCATTTTGGAATGGGAAAAAAACACATTATACAACATTAACATCAGTTGTTTATACAATAGTGCTATATGTTAAACGTTGTGAGATATTTTTGTGACGTGAGAGCATGTTGGATTATTAGGCCTACTACATGAGTAAATCTGATAGAATTGTTGGATTCACTACATAAATAACCCATCTCTGATATAAGATCAGAATGTGAGCGTCTAACTATAAATCAATTATTGATGGATGAAGAGACACATAATATTTCAATCGATTATGTTGGACTCCATGTTTTGATACAAGATATTATCTACAGACAAAATATTTCATCTATCTTAACATACCTTTTATGTCACTTAGTACTACGGTCTAGTAGTATTTATCTTCACTTGTAAATCATAGATCTTAGGTTCGATTTTCGTCACTTACTAATATCAAGTTAAGTTTGGCAGTATAATTTTTTTTTTTAACAAACGATATTATCTACACTAAAGGTAAGAGAGTGGGGCCTTACTATCCAAGAAACCGCCTTTTTGAAGATCGTATTATACCTTGACAATTTGGAAAAAAAATGATTCTATACCTTCACAAGTCAATGACTCAATGCACATTTTGGAACATGATCTTGATTCGAAAGTGATTACATAGCTATCTAAATACCATTAAAAGATAATTGATGATGTCAATACCACCCAAACTATTGATTTCCCAAATTTCTTAAGTCTTAATCCATCATTAAAATGGCACCACAATAGGTCGGTAAATATTGACTTGAAACTAACTCATATGGGTTCTTAAGAGTTCATTTGTTTGATTGTACCACTTATTGTGAAGACTTAAATAGTTATGGATATATAACAGCAATTACTCTCTACGAATACGTTCACTTACCCTGCTAAATATAGATGCACTGTGAAATTTGGGAAAGCTTCTCATTAATTAATTCCATAATTTCAAGTGTTTTTTCTCCAATTTACTTTGCGTTATTAAATTTATAAACTGGTTTGTATTGAAATGACAAAAAAAAGAAGGAAAATAAGGTAAATATACATGGAAATGTTATCTTTTTTATAAATCATGTCCCATTGGGACATCCGATAAAATTGGAATGATATAAAAACGATTAGCATAGCTCTTGCGCAAAATAACACGTATCAATCGAGAAATGATCTATTGTTGTACTTTAAAAAATGTTCATAACCAGTCCTTTTCTTATTGGGCCAGAATTCAGTTCATGGGCTCTTTTTATATCGATCTTGGGCATCTCTTTCTATTGGGCCTGAATCCAATTAGTCAAAATTTAATGGGCCTAAATTTAAACGGTCCATTTTTACTGGTTCGGCTGCAGAGGAGAGACAGCCACTGTGCTTACGTTTTCACTCCTCACTCCTCAGCAGTCAGCTTCTCCACCGAGTGAGGTGGCTACTGCGCCAAGTTGCTGACTTGGGAAAGCAATTCCGATGAGCAGCCAGCAGAGACGTCCGCCGGACCCAGTGGCGGTGCTGAGAGGCCACCGCGCCTCCGTCATGGACCTTTCTTTTCATCCTTACCTACCTCTCCTGTTCACCGGGTACGATTCAACACTTATGCAAGCTACCCTTTTGTTAATTTTCCTCAAAGATTATAAATTTTGATCAAACTCGCTTCTTTTTTTCTTTTTTTTTTTCGTTCTAGTTCATCAGACGGCGAGTTGCGGATTTGGGATACTATCCAGCATCGGACTGTATCCTCAGCAGGGTAGTTCAAATACCAATTTTCCATTTTTTATGATCAGAAAGTTGATATCTTTTTTGTTTTGGAATGAAAAGGACAAATTTTATTTGCAATTTTCAGGGTGCATAATGCAGCACATGGTATTGCTTCTGTTGCTTGTACTGCCAAAAGAGTTATCAGGTGGTTTTCTTTTCATTTTTTCTACTCTTATTTGCTTGTCAGATACACACACACACACACACACACACATATATATATATATATATTGTAGTGCTAGAATTGGAATTTGAAAATGTTTGTGTAGCCAGGGTAGGGATGGAACGGTTAAGTGTTGGGATATTGAAGATGGAGGTCTGTCCAGGTTCTCAGCTAGTTCTCATGAATGTAGCCTGTAGTTATTCGGTTTCCGTTGTACACTGCTTCATTTGTTATTTTTGATCATGGCTTGTGCCTCATTACTTTTGAACCTCGATATCGCCTTGGCAGGGTTCCATCTGTTACAATCAAGACAAATTCTTACCACTTTTGTAAACTTTCCTTGGTGAAGAGGCCTCAATCTTGTTCTACACGGATGGACGGGGTTAGGTTTTGTGACGGAGAGGAGAGAAGGGTGAAGGGGACTACCGATGAAGATACTTTGGACGACAGTAGAGACAACGGTGAAGGGGATCTGCCTGAGCAGCCCAGCGCCTTTGAAGGTTTGTTGAAATTTGGAACTGTATTCTGGTCAGGAATATTGTCTCTGCACTTTAGCTACTTTCTCTTAGGAGATGAAGGCTTAGACTTTAGATTTATCTATTAATTGGATTTTGAATAGTGGTCTCTTCTATATTTGAAATTTGTTTTGCTCTTTATTGCTCTGTGAAAGTTCAGAAACAAGAATGTTGATAGACAGTTTTTGAAAACAGAAAATACTCAAGATGAAGGATCTAAATATGTCGCTGTAGCAGGGGAGCAGACTTCTGAGGTCTGTATCTAACCTTGATTATGTCTAGTTAGACGTTCATTTTTGGAGTCTCGATTACTCACTACCGTCATGTGGTTGGTTTGCAAAGGTTGAGATTTGGGATCTTAGTACTGCAGAAAGGTTTGCACGGTTGCCTCAAAGCTGCTCTGGTGGCTCCTTGGGTATTCCTTCCAAGGAGAGCGGTCCCTTTCTAATTCATTCAACCTTTGGCTTACTAGTTTCTGGATTGGATTGTGTTTCAGTTTATAGCCGACGTTTTTGGGCCATCACTTTTCTGTCCATACTTTCTTATCGTTTTCATCTAGTTTATGTCAAATGGCATTAATTATTGTCAGGAATGTGCATGGCAATTCAAGCATTCTCACCGTCTGAATCACCGGGATTCTTAAATGTCTTGGTCGGGTATATTCTTTTTCACTTCTCATTATGTATGTTTTATGAAAATGAGTACATGATTAAAATTTTGATGAAAATGTAGATCATCCGTGTGTGTCTGCGACTCTGCGGTTTTAATGATGTTTGGCTTCTTAGTCTTCAGCTACTCGTAGTAGAATCTCTTTTGTTTGTTCTGTTTGTCTGTTGTCAGACTCTGTTAAAAAACTGCTCAAATTTGTTTTTCATCATTTTCTTTTGAACCAATGTTCTTAGGAAAGGTTGTTCAGAAGTCATATGTCATGAGTTTCTTGACTAGTTATCTGTAGCAATCTTAGATCTCTTCAGGGTGTATGTGGTGCATTCACTAAATTGAGCAAATATTTTGGGGTCAGAAGAATTTGATAACCTGGTTTGTGAGTTGTTGACACACAATGTGAGAATGAGATGTATGTGTCATACATGAGTTATCCTACCCTTTCTAACTTTGGGGATGCCGGATTAAGATGTGTGTATAACAGATCTTAAAATTTGTTTATACAGTGTGAGCATGCACCCATTTTCATACATGTTATAATCACTGAAGAAGGATCATTCTGCATTTGGTTTCTGGAATTGAAACGTGAGGTCAAAATTTGTTATTTTCGTCATTTTTATATGTCTATTCTGATTTTGTTTCTTTGTTCTACATTGTACAGTTATGAGGATGGTTCCATGCTTTGGTGGGATATTAGAAATCCGGGGGTTCCAATGACCACTGTCAAGTTTCATTCAGAGCCAGGTGAGAGACCTAGAATCCGAAGAACCCCCGTGCGTTTTTATTACCCATTCTCATTTTTCCTTTTGAAACAAGCCATGTTTTTTCATGTACCTTGTCTGTAGTTCTAAGTCTATGCGTTGATGGGTCATGCAATGGTGGTATCTCAGGAGCCGCTGATGAGAAAGTTGTGCTGTATAGTTTGGATCCTTCAATGGTAATAGTCATGTTTGTAAGTTTGTAGTACTACTCTAAGCAAAATTTAAGCGATATTTTATATCTCTTTTGCCGTAATGTTGTGCTGTCCAACCTAGGGTACGTGCGTGATCAAGAAAGAAATTGTTTTGGAACGACCTGGAATTTCAAGCACTTCCATTCGACCTGACGGTAAAATTTTTGCAACAGCTGGTTGGGACCACAGGTTTGGAACATAACTTTCATTTTGATATTTGAAGTGTACTGCATTCTTATGTATTTTTGCCCTTTTTTTGTTTCACCTCTTGATGGCAGAGTGAGGGTGTATAACTATCGTAAAGGAAATATTCTTAGTTTTCCTTAAAGTGAACAGTATCATGAGCTTTTTGTTATAACTATCGTTGCGTTCTTATGTCTTTTTGCCCTTTTTTCATTTCGCCTCTTGATGGCAGAGTGAGGGTGTATAACTATCGTAAAGGAAATGCTTTGGCGATATTGAGGTATCACCATGCAACGGTATGATCCTGTTTTCAAACAACAACGCTTTCTTGCTTTTGATGCTATACTCACTACCGAGGGCCTGATTCTACGTATTTGCTTGTTTTTGCAGTGTAATGCGGTTTCTTATTCCGGTGATTGTAAGCTAATGGCATCTGCATCAGAAGATACGACGGTGGCGCTATGGGAACTCTACCCTCCTCAAACTTAAAACGAAACGATCTATTTGTAATGAGGTCGTGAGTTCAAATTCTCCTCTTAATGATTAGTGTAGATTAGTGTAAAATATCGTTTCTACTGAAAAAGTTATATGGTCTATTGGCGCACCATGTAAGCACACTAATTGAAAAACAAACAGAATTATAGCATGAAGGATTAAGTTACATTGAAGATGCTATTATAAAAAATCACTTGTAACGTCGAGTTTTCGTCAATGCCTTGTATATATTTGGTTGTTTTGCACTTCAAGCAAGTGTTACTGTGACAAAATTTGAGCAAGACTTGTTTATATTTTAATTGTGATTAAATTGAAGAAGATCTAATGTAGATAATGAATTAAACTCTAATGAGATATAAAACTGACGCTCAAAGGCGGATGTACATTGGTACCAAGGTGGTCCTAGGACCATCCCGAGTTCGGGAAACATTACATGTGAAGGTCTTATGAGAATCCTTCGAATGTTCGGTATGAGTTCAATTTGTGCTCATCAAGTGTTTGATGTAATGTGCTAGGCATATCTGGGTAGGTTGCGTTGAGAGCACTTAACAAATTTTCTCAAATGCATTTATCAAATTGCTTCGGCATATATGGATATTTGTTGATATATGCACAGCATAGTTCAGTTGATCACAACAAATCCACTAAGTGTTCGACGAAATGCCTCAATAATAAACTGATTTTTTTTCCCGCTTCATGCAATCAGTTTCTAGTAAAAACTTAGACATTTAACACTATGACTCCCTAAGGAAAAGGATCCTCCTTTTCCTGGGGATCTCGAGAATCCCGTGATCGTGGTTGTTCATCATGCATTGTGCGGTCAGTAATAATGTATTTAAATTACATTATTACTTGATTATACAATTGAATTGTGAAAGTTTGACTCTCATCCTTTCTTTCCCTCAAAAGAAAAATGTTTCTTCACAATAAGTTGGCACTTGGTCGTTGTTTCCAAGTATTTGAGTTCACATTCGTTATATAATAGGCCTCTTAGAAACAGCCACTCTGAGAAATATCACATGAACACGTCGTCGTGATCATTGTAGAAGCAGCAAAGGATAAGACGTTTGGAATCTGTTTCCCTTATCTGATAATCAACAGAGTGCCGACCTTCCTAACTACGGTTCTATTAATTAATTTAACAAACCTTATAATCCCTCTTCTTAATTAAGCAACAATATTCAAGGCGAAACCAAAGTGGAACCAAACAGAAGAGGAAAACTAAACAATAAGAATTAATGAACCACCAAAAGATGGCACAATGGTTGGAGATGAATACCAGACCTGTATTTTACACGGTATGTCCTGACTTTGATTTTTGATGCTGGTGAATCGCACGATAGGGGCCAGGAGATGCTAAAATGCCTCTGGAAGTCTTCTTGCCTCCCAAAGGGTGGATGCCAAAACAATAAGAATTAATGTTGACTTTTATTTTTATAATCATGAAATTTATTAAAAATTTAAACAATATGTAATATATATAGTGAAAATACTGAAGCTGAGCTGTGCGAAGGTTGGATGTCCATGGTCATGGTTACCAAGCAAAAAATATATAAGTTGCAAACGTTTTAGGGTATTTTCTGGACCTCTATCTCTCACCAGAAAAATATGTGTAATTATATATTTTTGGTCCCTCCAACGGCAATGGTTTGGTTTTGTCTCCTGCTGGTAAAGCAAAATGCATGGGTGATTATGGCCTCTGATGCTTACTATAGGTTCATGAATATATGAAAGATTTGACTCGCACAGTTTGGTGGTTAGCTTGGCAGGCAGCACGCATGGCTGCTAAACATTCTTTTTGCAGGTTCATGGAATAAGAGCTTAATTTAATTTGTATGGATAATTTCACACGAGTTCAAACTTTCTGCATTTATTTTGTGTGTGACTTAGTCTCTATCGTTGATTGACATGTGTTTATAAACGTAACCCTCTTTAACTATGTTGTTATAAACTTAATACGTGTCAATAAGTGATAAAATTCACAGAGAGGCTACATACAAAATGAACGTTGAAGATTTAAACTCATATAATATTGTTTACATGGAAATTAATTAAGGGTTAAGCACTTATATTATGATTCATAAACACTTTAAAGCTTTTTTGTCAAACGTAAATATCATAATCATAATCATTAGCAGTTGTCAAAAAGCATTTTTAGCTCCGTTGTAAGCAACTCCATCCAAAATAAATTTTTAGTCCTTTCGAATACTACGAACACAAACAAGAAAATATGATTGGCAAACAATAAAAATAAACAAATGTTGACCACAAGAACGAGTATATATATGTGAGGAAACTTTCACTAATAATATTCTTGGACCAAAACATAAAAATATATAGAACTAATTAAGGAATATCGCATGTCAACAATATATATAAAATACATATACGAATACGCATGGTGTAAATTGTTGAGTAAGACGTGCTGTATTTTTTCTATTTTCCACGGCCCGACAATTTGAGTTGATCAATTTACCAATCATTGCAAGAACAAGATCAGAAATACATTATAAATTTAGTTAAAGAATGTATCTGTCTAAACCAACCGTATCAAAGACATTCTGAATGAGCCCCATCAACCGTATACATAATTATCCAAGTACACTAAGGAATATCTCACTTAATAACAAATATAGAATTAAAAGATGCTTTTTTAATTAGCACCCTACATAATGTTGAATGCACACTAGGTTAAAATTTAATATTAAATGGCTTTTGCACACTGCTATGCAATGATAATTTTGACCTTATTAGATTTTAAATAAAAAACGAAATTTCCAAAATACACGCAAAATCACTTTTAAAGTATTATTTATTTTCTTCAGCAATCAAAACCTCATCACCCTCCATTGTTGGAAAAAAAATCTTACCCAACAAAACTACAAACATATTGATTGAGAAATTTTTTTTTACGAATGAAATACGAAATTGATGTTTCAGAAGCTTCACATTCAAACTTCACATTAAAACTTCACATAAAATAATTATTCAAGCCTGCTTTTACTGTGTGTCGACAACCCTGCTGAACTGAGCCTTGAGCCTTCTCTTTCTTTTCCTGAATGTTGCCTCTTCATTATCTAACACACCCCCACCTCCGAAACCTTCACTTCACTTTCGTATATGCCCATCCCTCCTTACCCAATCCTTTTCCCTTTTACTGTATCATTAAACTTTATAAAAGTATTAAAATTATCAGTTTGCTTGACATTTAATGATTTTGAGGTGTATGATTTTGCCAATATTGCTACTAATCAACAATTTTAAATAATTTTGATCTTTTCACTACTGCTACTAATCAACATTTCAAATAATTTTGATTTTGGAGTGTATAATTATCCCTTTCTCTTCCTGAATCTTGGAACTACCGGTACTAATCAACAATTTTAAATAATTTTGATCTTGAGGTATGTATCATTCTTATCAAATAATATTCATCAGTTTGCAAGACATTTTATGCTCTTAGATGTTTAGTGATGTAAAGCGTTAAGTTTTGGTGCCACTGCCACAATATCCCGATGGTTATAAGGCATAACTGTAGATGAACTTTCTCAGCATGACCGTGTATACGTGGGATGTATAGAGAATGTGGGGTGTATAGAGTATGAGGTTGTATGTAGAAAATGTAAGTAGTATGTTGAGAATATGGGATGTGAGAGTATTATAGGGGAGTATGTGAGGTGTACTAAGATAATTTTTAATTGAAAAAACAAATGCGGGGTGTATTAAGGATGTAGAGTTTATTCGACAATATGTGGGGTGTCAATATAATAAACCTTAAAAGATCATGACTTCATTTGTTGCAAACAAGGTTTTAAAATACGATAGATGATAATTGAGCTGCTAACTGGGACCTAGGTTCAATCTATTCATACGTATCGAACAAATTAATTAATGGTTGTAATATTAACAAGTAGTACCCTCATAATCTACCTTCAATTTATCAGATCACGTCATAGTGTTTTGAGGAATAATTCATGCCATATTGTTGAGAATCCCTGATCGATAATTTGAGAAGCCAAATTACAACTTATAATGTATGGTACAATACCTAATTACACTGAAACATCTAGGAAAATACCTCAATGATTCAGGGTTGGGGAGCAAGGTATGACCAGAACAGGGCGCTATATTAATGGAATGTAAGATGTCATTATCAATCATGTTCTGTTAACTACCTCAACCATAGAGGAATTGGAACCTCGCAAGATTTTACAATTAATATTAGACCAAATGTCAAGAGACTTAAGAGAATACTGTAATATCAACAATTAATGGGCAAAGCTATAATTTAGCATCAAACTCGTTATTATACCACGAGAGTCGAATTTAAAAAATCTTAACTTACTCTTGAATAAAATACTGGATTAGATATATACCAAGTTTCATTCATCTTACTTATCCATCATCGAAAATAATACAACTCAATATAGTGCTAATTAATGACATATACTTGTTGATTAGAGGAGCACTCCCTCACTTATTAATTAGTTTATTGCACGATCAAGAGGCCCTTCCGATTTATATCAATTTTCATGATAGGAACCTAATGTCGTTCTGGTATATATATATATATATAGTGTGTGTGTGTGTGTGTGTGTATTCATTTAGTTAATTAATTAGGACGAAATTAACATGTGGGTAGCTCGAAAAATCTAGTATTTAAGGAGGGCCAGGTCGAGGCTTGAGACAGACAGAACCACAGAGCTATAGCTTATTAATCACAGCTATAGCACAATTTAAGTAAGCAAAATCCAAGAAAGAAAGAATGAAGCCATTTACTAGTCTCATTCCTTCATTTCTGTTGTTAATAATATTTCATGGGTTCTCTCGGACGGCCCACGCTGCCGGTGGCAATTGGCAAGTGTTGGCAACCATTGGCGTTTCTGCCATGCACATGCAGCTCTTAAAAAATGACCGCATCGTCCTGTTCGACCGCACAGACTTCGGCACATCCAACTTGTCCTTGCCAAACGGTAATTGCGTCAACAATGACTGCACCGCCCACTCTGCCGAGTTCGTCGTCCAGACCAAAGCCTTCCGGCCCCTTACAGTCTTATCCGACGTCTGGTGCTCCTCCGGCTCCATGGCCCCCAACGGAAACTTAATCCAAACCGGTGGCTTCAATAGTGGAGAACGCCGCGTTAGAGTTTTCCAACCCTGCACGGGTTGTGATTGGACGGAGGTTGTGGACGGCTTGGCGGTTCGCCGTTGGTACGCCACCAATCATGTTCTGCCCGATGGACGCGAGATTATCATCGGCGGCCGGGGACAATTCAACTATGAATTTTATCCGAAGACCGACTCTACAAGCAATGTCTACAGCTTACCGTTCCTTTCGCAGACCAATGACGCCGGCCAAGAAAACAATCTATACCCTTTTGTTTTTCTCAACCCTGATGGCAACTTATTTATTTTCGCCAACAATCGAGCTATTTTGTTGGATTACCTGAAGAACGTCATCGTTAAAACCTACCCGCAAATACCCGGCGGCGACCCGAGGTGTTACCCTAGCTCGGGTTCAGCCGTGTTGCTGCCGTTAAAAAACTTGACGGCTCCGTCTGTTGAGGCTGAGGTTTTGGTTTGTGGTGGAGCTCCAAAAGGATCTTTTGTCCAGGCTAATAAGGGTACTTTTGTGGATGCTCTAAACACATGTGCTCGGATCAAAATAACCGACCCTAATCCACAGTGGATTGTTGAAACTATGCCTCAAGCTAGAGTCATGGGTGACATGTTATTGCTCCCAGACAGCACTGTTTTACTCATCAACGGTGCATCGTCTGGGGTTGCAGGTTGGGAAATTGGTCGTAACCCCGTTCTCAACCCAGTTGTGTACCGACCAGATAATGCATTTGGGTCAAGGTTCGAACAACAAAACCCCACCACCATACCGCGGATGTACCATTCCTCAGCATTATTGGTACGCGATGGTAGAGTGATCGTTGGAGGTAGTAACCCCCACGATAAGTACCAATTTGGCAGCAACGTGCTTTTTCCAACAGAATTTAGATTGGAGGCATTTAGTCCTGAGTATCTCGACGCCAAGTATGCGGATTTGCGTCCTACAATCATCAATCCCCTAAACCAAGCCAAAATCCATTACGGAAGAAAATTGACCGTTCAGTTCTCGCTTACGGGGACACTAGCAATGAATTCAGTGTTGGTGACGATGGTGGCGCCGCCTTTTAGCACACATTCGTTCTCCATGAATCAAAGGTTGTTGGTTCTTGGTGCAGAGAACGTACAAAAGGTAGGGCCAACAACGTATCAAGCTCAAGTGACGACACCGCCTTCAGTAAATCTTGCGCCTTCCGGATATTACATTTTGTATGTGGTTCATCAGCAAATACCAAGCGAGGGCATCTTTGTTCATATTTACTGAGAACCTTGAAGTTACATTTCATTTCCAAAATGAAGAAAACATTTCATTTCCAAAATGAAGAAACATAAATGGTTATCAGTTGAAAAAGAAAATGTTCATATACACAGATCAAGCTAGCTAAGAGTGCACAACTTGTCAGATGTAATTTCGATCACAATTTGCAAGTTGTACTTTCAATTTCTTTTGTAGTTTGTTTCTTTTTTACCGAAATTGTAAAGCTTGTGTTTAAACTGATGAATAAAGTTATATTTAAGTTATGTTGAACTTTTGCCTACTTACAAAATAGATCAATCAAACGCTACTAAGTACTGACAAGGGCACAAAATCAAAAGTAGTAAAGCAAGGGCAAATACAAGATTGATCTCATAGAAATTGCCTTAAAAGCCGAGTAAACAAGATTAATTTAAAAACGAACGATGGATTGACGGTGATTAAAAGGTAAACTAAACGAAATGAATCAAAAGGTAAACGATGGATGTGTTATTTAAAACTAAAATTGGAAATCGAAAGAGAGACAAAGTAGGAAGAATAGATCATCATATTAGGGTTTCACCATGCCCTAGCAAAAGTGCTTAGTTACAACAAGAGATAAAAATAAAAGGAAGATATAACTCAAAATCCATGGTGATGCACATCTCAAGCTCTTCTTCTCCGTCAAACAAAAATTGTATGTGTATGGAGGCAATGTAAAGAGGGCATAAGGCACCTTATTTATATTAAAACAACACAATTCTAACTCTAAAAAGTACAATAAAAACTCCTAAAATGAAACAAAGACCTAAACAAAAAGAACACAAACTAGGAAAGAATCATATTCTTAGCTTGGGAAACACGTAATCTGACTTGCAGGCTTGATTTGGGATCCTTCCATCTTCTAGAAAATTTCAACAAAAATAGGTAACTAGTAACTCTTTTTGTTAGCTTTCCAGGTATGGAACATTAACTAGGAAAAATTGGGAAAGTTTTCAAATCTTCATTCACGCAAGTACACAATCCTGAAGGCAATCAATCTGTTCGTATATGGTCCAACCCATGATCAATGTTCTAGATTATTCTAGTAAGCAAGTGAGGTGGCTGGAGCATGCTAGACAATTCTAGCATGTTATTAAGTTGATGGAAGAAGCTAGAGAGTACTAACTTCCTTGGTTGCAAATGGAAAGATCTAGAAGCTACAATTTTGTGGCTAGTCTAGAATTATCTATGGTAGAGGTTTGAAGAATACACTAAAAACTAGTAGAATGCCAAACTCTCACCTATAAATACGGGTGTGATGTTGTAATGAAGTAACCAATTAAGAACCAAGTGTGAGTAGCAAAGGATCAAGTCCAAAGCTAGAGTTCCACTCCAAGAGTGAGAGTGAGAGTGTTCCACTACACATTGTGAGTGAAGTTTAGAGTGATAGAAAGTGTGTGTCATACTTTCTTGTATCCATCAAGCCTTGTCTTTGGCTTGTACCGACATTCCTAACACAATCAACTTCCGCGAGGTTGTCTTAGTAAACTAGAACATTTGGCTTCGTATGAAATTATGAAATTTGAGCACAATGATTCTCAATCTCTTAGTTCTCTCTTCTAGTTGGCCTTGCATAAAAATTCCTCCGAAAAGTCGATTTATCTTCAAAACCCTCCTAAGTGTGCATATTGGCTGAAATTGGGAAAATAGAAGTAATGAGGCTCTTTTAAAACCAATTCCTTAACAAAACTTAGGAATAATAATTGACATCAAGAAATAAAACTTATCAGGCACTATTGGATAATATATTACTTGCAAATTTTTTGGTATTTGCAAGTTGCACCTTCAATTTTCTTTTGTATTTTGTTTCTTTTTGCTGTATAGTTTGGATCATTACATGGTAACTTAGACAAAATTTTGTAAGTTTGTATTACTAGATGTTTTACAACTCCAGCCTCAGAACATTAGAGGTGTTTCTCGGATGTTGAAGTTGAACTAACAGGTTTCGATTTTGTCGCTGCAATATTTCAGAGAGGAAGTGTTTATAAACAACAATTTATTACCTAATTAGCGATTACTACTAACGTGTGCGACACGACTCAGTCGTCTCGAATTAGATGGCTGCATTATTTCTGAGCTTGTGAAATTTGAAATCATGCGCCATCGTTTCTTTTTGGTACATAAACTATGTGAATTTTAGAACTCAAATAATGAAACAAGCAAGGCTTTGAGATCTCTGTTAAGTCCTCCTTCCACAAGGCACCCGAAAACTTTAAAATTCGGGTTGGATTTCTTCCACTCGAAAACACGACCTAGTGTTTAATGATGCATCAGGTTGCCCCATTAGTTAAGATCCAGTCTAGCTAGCTCGGTTTGTTAACTTGTAACATCCTAGATGAACAGATGGTTTGCCTGGAAAAAACTTGTCCCACTTTTTATTAGAGTTTGTGTTTTATTTGTATTTCAATGGAGTTCTCTGTGTTAGAGTTTGAAGAACAAAACAGCAATGGTGTTTAGAGAGAAGATGATTGAATATGTCTCTTGGATTTCACTCAATTAGACCAAATACATTTTTGTAACCGTTATGTATGTAGAGGAAGGGAGATCCTTCACTCACCAATACACAACACAATCTCAACCATTCATTGCTATCATCCTATGAGATGATGCCACTTGTCTTATTCTATCACTTAGATCCTATGCTAGAGAAGAGACCACTTGGACTATGATCCAATGGCTCAGATTACATCAGAAAGATAAATCACATAAAAGGAAAATCAAAATTTGTAACTTTAGCTCCAAGATATTAGCTCAAGGGTTACACATCAACACTCCCTTCTAACCCTTTAGCTGATTTCACACCAAGTAGATCTCTTAGGTAAACAAATCGATCCTTTGACAGAGCCTTGGTTAGTATATCTGCAATCTGGTCTTCTGTTTTGTAGTAGACGAGTTCAATCTCCTTTGTTTGGATAGCTTCCCTGATAAAATGAAATTTCCTACTGATGTGCCTAGTTCTCTGGTGAAGAACTAGATTCTTTGCCATTGCTATGGCTGAAGTGTTATCACACAGAATTGGTGTGCCTTCCACTTGCTCATCTCCAAAATCTTCAAGCACAAACCTTAGCCATTTAGCATGTGATGTTGCTTCTGCAGCACTGACATATTCTGCTTCTGCAGTGGACAGTGCCACTGTGTTTTGTTTGATTGATGCCCATGAAAACATACTGGATCCAAGTGTAAATGCATATCCTGAGGTGCTTCTCATGTCATCCTCAATTCCTGCCCAGTCACTATCACAGTACCCTATTAGAGTAGTTGTCTTCCCTTTTACAAATTCAATTCCAAAATCAAGAGTGCCCTGAATATATCTCAACACCCTTTTGGATGTTCCCATGTGTTTCTTTGTGGGGTTATGCATGAATCTAGCAAGTAAACTAGAAGCAAACATTATATCCGGCCTTGTAGCAGTCAAGTATAACAAGCTACCTACAACTTGTCTATATTCACTTTCATTTGCTGCTTCACTACCATCTGTCTTGCATAACTTCTCATTCACAACCAGTGGTGTTGCCACTGATTTGCAATCTTTCATCCCAAATTTCTCAATAAGCTTCATTGCATATTTCCTCTAATGGATAAAAATGTTTTTATCTGTTTGTACTACTCCCATTCCAAGAAAATGATGAAGTAACCCCAGATCAGTCATCTCATAATGCTGCATCATGTCATTTTTGAACTCTTCAAGTAGTTTTGGACAACTTCCAGTATATACAATATCATCCACACAGAGTGAAACAATAATGATACATGTAGCTTCACTAGTTTTGACATAAAGTGTTGCTTCACTAGAGCTCTTCTTGAAACCTGTCTTGCTAAAATAGGAATCTATCTCATCATACCAAGCTCTTGGAGCTTGCTTCAACCCATACAGAGCCTTGTTCAACTTATACACCTTGGTTTCTTCACTCTCCTTCACGAAACCTTGTGGTTACTCAACATAAACCTCCTCCTTCAAAGTTCCATTCAGAAAAGCAGATTTTACATCCAACTGATATAGGTTCCATTCCTTCTGTGCAACAAGTGCTATCAAGGTCCTAATAGTATCTAATCTTGCAACCGGAGCGAATGTTTCATTGTAGTCTATCCCAGGCTTTTGGGAATAACCTTTTGCCACCAGTCTGGCCTTGTTCTTCTGCACGGATCCATCAAGGTTCAACTTGGTTTTATAGACCCACTTAACACCAATGATTGGCTTGTCAAATGGTCTATCAACTAGCTCCCATGTGTTGTTCTTCTCAATCATTTCAAGCTCAGATTTCATTGCATTTTCCCATGACTCATCTAGAATAGCTTCTTCATAGTTTTCAGGTTCTACAATGCACATGTTACACTGAGCCATGATCTCATTGACACTTCTCCATTTCTGTGGTGTGTGATCAGTTGTTTAAGAGCTTTCGAAAACATTCTCACTTAGTGATGTAATAACATCCTCCACTTGAGTTGATGTATCCAAGAATTGACTTGGTTCACATACTTCCACTTGCTTCTGTCCTTCACTACAATCTGCCATTTGATTCTCAGCAATCATGGGGACTTGTATTTCACTCTTATCAGTGTTCTCCCACTCCCATGAAGCATTCTCATCAAAGTGTACATCTCTAGACAGGATGATCTTACTGGAACTCGGATCAAACACTGTACCCTTTTTCACAGATTCCATAGCCTACAAAAATACACTTGCGACTATTTTCTTCAAGCTTATGCCTTAGTGTTGAGGGAATGTGCACATAGCATAGTGACCCAACAATCTTCAAGTGTGCAATACCTGGTTTTCTACCAATGTATGCTTCAAATGGAGTTATCTTCTTGAGAGACTTTGAGGGACATCTATTAAGTATGTAGACTGCAGTGCTCACAGCCTCTGCCCAAAATGCATAAGAAAGACCCTTTTCATGCATCATAGACTTTGCCATTTCCACCACAGTCATATTCTTTCTCTCAGCTACTCCATTCTGTTGAGGAGAATATGCCATGGTAATTGCCTTTGAATTCCAAGCTCATTGCAGTAACTGTCAAATTCGGTTGATAAGAACTCTCCACCCCGATCACTCCTTAGACATTTCACCTTATATCCACACTGCAACTCTGTCATTGCTTTAAACTTCTTGAAACAATCAAATGCACTTGACTTGTTTCTGAGAAAATATACCCAAGACATCTTAGTACAATCATCAGTGAACAACAAAAAGTACTTATTTCCAGAGATAGATTCAGTTTG